GCTCCAGGAGGCAGGGACTGCCTCACACAGGCAGTGCTGTTTCACCGAGGCACGTGTGTGGGTTTCTCATGAGGCTGCAGTCATCTGAAGGCTCAACTGTGGCTGCAGGGTCTGCTTCCTAGGTGATTCAGCCACACGGAACCTCCAAGTTCCTCTCCCCTGGGACCCCTCCATAGGGCTGACTGAGTGGTCTCAACATGGCGGCCGGTCCGTGATCCAAGAGGCCAAAGTGGGAGCTGTAATGCCTTTTGTTACCCAGCCTTGAAAAGTCACGTATTGTTACTTCCAGCATACTTTGTTAGTCACACAGGGCTAATCGTGAGAGAGGCAGTTACAAAAATGACACAAGTCCTGGGATCTGTGGGCCATTTGGGGGCCATCTTGGAGGCTGACTACTGTTGTTACATTGTCTTAATTACTGTAGCTGTATTCTGAGTCTTGATGTGAGTAGTCGCAGTTTACTTTTCCCCTCGGCTTGACTTGTCTTGGCTATTTGTGACTATGCATTTTAGGATTCCTGCACCAAGTTCCATGAAAAAGCAGTTTGAGATTTTGACTGACACTGCATTGGGTCTATGGCTCAATTTTTGAGAAGGCTGAACAATTTTAAATGTTGAGTCTCTCTGGACAAGAATTAGTATATATTTCACTCTACTTGTACAGACCTTCTTTCATATTTTTCAATACAATTTTAATTTTCTTCATAAAAGAGTTTTTCACTTCTTTTTGCTAGATTTGTTACTCATCACTAGCTTTTTTGTATGTTTGTTTTACAATTTTTAGGCTACGGTAAATGGTATCCTTTTAAAATCGAAGTGCCATTTTCGCGCAGTGAAATGCTCAGTTCTTCAAGTTTACCATTCAATCAGTTCTAGCAAATGTATACACTTGTGCAACCCACACCCTTATCAGGACACTGAGCATTTCCATCCCTTGTGGCCTTTCTGAGTCAATCTCCGCCACCCTCCCCACCCCAGAAGCAACCACTGATCTGATTTCTATCACCGTAGATTAGTTTTGCTTATTCTAGAATTTTGTAAATGTTTTCTTAAAAAAAATAACATTTTATGATTAATTTTTGCTAATGTACCATCACACAGTAAACTTTGTGTGTTGATTGTGTATTCACTAGCATTGTTAAGTTACTGTATTGATTCTGGTTATTTATCTGTATTCTTTTGGGTTTTCTGTATTGGTGGCACCTTCTGCAGAATGCCCTTTCTCTCTCCTTCCTTCCTTCCCTCCTTCCCTCCTTCCCTCCCCCCTTCCTTCCTTCCTTCCTTCTTCCCATCCTTCCCTTCCTCCCTCCTTCCCTCCTTCCCTCCTTCCTTCCTTCCTTCCTTC